CTGCTGTCAGGAAGGATGCTCGTTTTGGTTTTTTTTTCCACTGAGGAAGCTGAAGTAATTACTGATCCCAGTCGTTGGCAAATCATGCCTTTAGGCAGTGTTGAGGCTGAAGTGAATGACAGGGTATCACAGGAGCCCCCACCCCAGACACAATGTTGAATCCCTGCCAAAAGCCTCCCTGGTGGGGAGGTGGGGGTGACAGGGCAACACTTTCCATGAAACTTGAAATTCATCTGAATGTCCCATGAGAAAAGCCCATCCCTCAATTACAGGACACCAGACTGAGTTTTTCATGGGCTCAGTTTGGGGCAGGTCCCGCTGGGCCACGAGCCGGGGTCTGGTTTTGGCTCGGGTCTGGGTAAGCAGAGCACAGGCACATCTCCAGCTCCAGGGCAGGAAACCTCACTAATTATTGATTAAAAAATTTTGCTAAACCCTTTCCATAAGCAACAACTGGCAAGGAAAATCGTGATGAATTATAGATCAGTGGCTCCCGCCCCCCCAGGGCCCCCATACTCCCCCACCACCCGCAGCATGGTGAATTTCCAGTCACAGTTTTACTTATAACGAGGGAGGAATCACACTGGGAATCACTCTGGGATGTGGGGCCTGATCCAGCCCCAAGCAGGGAGGGAAGCGGTGCCTGGGAAGAAAAAGCCCATCCCACTCCCACAGCTGCCCTCGGTGGCATTTTTCTGGTGAGCAAATGTGCTGAGCGAAACCGAAACACGGTCCTCTCCCCAGCTGCAGCTCTCGCTCTTGCTCTTCCATCTCCAGTGCTGCAATTTCAAACAGTAATTTTTTTGTTGTTGTTTTCCCAGCTCGCCATTAATTTTAAATCGAGGGGGAGCTAATTTAGTAAATGAAATGCTTCAGAAAAGATTTAATTAGCTGCAGAGAGGTGGTGGGTCCCACAGCGGGACTGGGGCTTGGCGAGAGCTGCAGTCCCAGACTGAGGTTTGCAGACAAGGGTTTAGCAAGGCCTTTGTGGGGGTTTAACAAACCCCAGTGGTTTGGGTGCTTTGGGCTTGGAGAGGTCCCATGGCTGAGACCAGAGGGAGAGATGCAGGGATGGAGGCAGAGGGGTGTGGGGAATTGCAACTCTCACCTCAAAATGCTGCCCCATCACCCCAGCCTCGGAGGGCAAAGTTCTGCTCTGGTCCCCAAACCCTGCTCTGGGGCGAGGGCAGCTCCTGCACCCATGGCCTTGTACTTCGGGGTGGCTATGCCAAAGCCTCTTCACTGGGGCCGTCTCCAGCCAGGTTTGTCCCCTCAAAACCAGCCCAGGTTTGGTTTTTTTCTTTTATTGCTCGGTAATTTCCCCAGGCCACGGCAAGACCCAGCATCTTGTGCTGGGGAGGATCTGGGGTCTTCCTTTGTGGTGACATGGCAGGAGCAGAGCGAGTGCACCTGGGGCTGATGAAATCTCTCATCTCCAGAAATGGACAACGTGGCACAGCCAGAGGGGCCAGGAGGGCCCTGCCTGCCCTCCCCAGCACAGCTGCACCACCTGAACAGCCACTCTTCCTGGAGGCAGCAGGGCTGAAACTCGAAAGCAAGAGCTGGGGCCCAGAATAGTCCTGCCCTAGCCTGGGGGGAGTGGGGCAGAGCCGGATCCTGCCATGGAGGACGGCCTGAGTCCTCCCACTTCGGCTCTGCAACTGTGCCAAGCTCGGGCGATACCCAACAGCCACTGATTTGGGGAGTGCCAGCCACTGATTTGGGGGGTGCAGCCCCCAAGCACCCAGGGGAGCAGCTGGTGGCCCCTGCAGCCCATCCCAACAGCCAACTGTGCATGTAGCCACCTTCTCCAAGGGGTCTGGGGAAAGGCCGTGCAGAGCTCAGGCTGTGCCACGCCAGCCGTTTCCCCCCACCCAGTCATGCAGCTGTGTGGCTGTGGGGCATCCCCTGGCTAAATTTAGTCCTCAGCCACCACAGTCTCCAATCAGAGACTCAAAAGGGCGCCCGAAAAAAGGAAGCGAAACCATCTCCAGTGGGTGCTGACGTGTGAAGGCGAGTGGGGGCCACGCAGCCGAGCCCTGCCTCGGCTCAGTCCCAAGATGGCTGCTAGCTCTTTGCTGTGGCGAGCTTTGCCTCTGTCACCTTTGGGGTCATCAGCCACTGGGCAGGAGGACAGGTTTTGGAGCAGCTTGAAACTGCTCAAAATTGGCAGGGTGGGTGGGGACAAGGGACCCGC